AATATATTCAATATATTCAATATATTCAATATTTAATAAAAATTAAAAATTTTTTAAAAATGAAGTGTTTGTGTTTAGTTTCAGTCCCAGCTGGGGGTGATCACATACCCAGGATGTCACAGAGCCTCCCCATCTGCAGGTTCTGCTGGAGACCAAGGTCAGGGATGTGCTCACGGATTTCTTGGGAATATCCTGGAAAATAAGGAAAAGCCACCCCCCCACTCTCAAACTGCAGGCAAAAAAAACACCTGGTACAGATTTGGGGGAGGAGGGGGGAAAAAAAAAAAAAAAATCAGATTTTTGGATGTAAAAAAAGCTTAAAAAAATCCTCCTTATTTTGAATTTCACAGTATTCATTGCAGCATTTTTCTGAATTTACTTTTATTACTGATGTAACTTCGTGTTTTTCTCTCATTTTAAATACAGACCTGAATATTCCAGCCCTACAGATTTTTCTAATTTAACCACGCAGACCATTTTGTTGAGAGCCTTTCATGTTGCTGGATAATTTTTTTTTTTTTTTTTTTAAATACTGAGGAAAGAAAAAAAAAAAAAAATTAAAAAAAATAAATAAATGACACCATCATTAAGCAAGAATCTTGGTAATTTTGTCCTTCACACAGATAAAAGGCACCAAAAGCACTTCATTAAGGAGATGTCTCAGTGCTACCTGCTCACTTTGTTGCAGAGGAAAGGTGAGTGACAAGCCTGGATTTCTCTGTTTGCAGGTCATAATTCCATGCTCACGTTCAAAAAAAAGAAAAAAAAAACCCCCCCAAAAAAAAGAAAAAAAAAAAGAAAATAAATAAAAAAAAAACCACAGCAGGAAACCACAGCAGCACTGTAACTCTAATTTTTCAAGCCTGTAATTTTCAAATGAATGTCATTGGAAATGGTGGTGTCTGTACAAAGGGGGCCTGGCAGTGATAATAAATGTTGATTGCAACGGGATTAATCTGAATATTCAATAAAAAAAAAAAAAAAAAACTTGGCTGATCAAGGAGATCCTTCCATTTCCATGCACGTGGAAAATCATCAGGAAACTCGAGGAAAACTGAATTTGCCTCAAATGTGCTCAGTATTTCAGAGCTTTCATGTAGAAAACAGCAAAGTGGGTATTGGAGGCTAATTACAAAGGTAATTATTCCAAGTGATCAGCATTCTAAGGTGCCCTGGCAATTGCACTCAGACCATGAGGAAATAGAGAGAAATTAAAATTATCACTCGAATTTTTGGTCATTTCTTACCATTATTTATATATTGCAGTCAGCACAGTGGTAGCAGGCACTTGGAGAACTCATCTAAGTAAAATATATTGATTTAAATTTTTTTTTTTTTTTTTTTTTACTCCTCTGATATTAAGCTAGAGTAATTAAAAAAATTTTAAATCCATTTAAATGCAGCTGATTTCCTTACCCTGGATTGTCCTCTTGAAAACATTGGGTTTAAAAAAAAAATTGGGCCAAAAAAACAACATGCAAATATCACTTGGAAAAACAGAAATTATTTGAAAAGAATAACAAAGCGGCAATTAAATGAGTTAAAATTTGCATTTTGCTCTGGCTTTGCAGATCCATGTCAGCACTGTACTTTTCACAGGGAGGTTAATAAAATATATTAAGTGACAAAATATTAACTTCCCCTGGCATGACCTCATTAGATTTAATGAGGAATATTCAGGGCTGGTGAATTCTCCCACTGGACAGGATGAACCACATTTCTCCTGATAAAGTTGATTAAAGGGTTAAAAATTCCTTTTCTTCCAGTTTCAAGCAAAACTCAAGCTGAATAAATTCAATATATTGTGATCACAGCCTGCAAGGTCATCAGTTCAGGTTCCTGATCCAGTTTCCAGTCTGGGTAAGAAATTCCAAATGGTGCCTGAAATTTGGGATGTGGAACACTTGGGAATGGGATTGGGTTTTTGAATTAATGACTCCAAAGTGCAGGGAAAGGCACAAAAATGCTAAAATAAGAGAAAAATTCATTCATCTCCTTTTTAACCTCAGCCATAATGACCTGACACCCTTTTAATTGAGATTTCCTTCATAAATTCTGCTCATCTCCAAGTGGCTTCTCCCAACCAAAAAAAAAAAAAAAAAAATCCTCAAAAATTCCCTGGAGAAAAGGAACAGCAGAGAGGGGACAGGACACAAAATCCATGGGGCAGGGAGGAAAAAGAGCTGGGATCCCTCACCCTGTGCACCCCAGAGCACAGCTCAGAGAAATTAATACCCAAAAAATAAAGAAATATTTATTCCATAAATGAAAACTGAATTGTTCTCTCTCTCTCTTTGAGACACACTTTTGTGGCAGTAAATCTGATTGAAAAATTCAAATTCATCTCTCCTCACTCTGCCTGCCAACAATCCTTAAACTCTGCAATCTATTTTGGGTTTTTTTTGTTTTTTTAGCTATGCTAAGAATTCCAAGTTTTAGGTTTGGGTGAAATAAATGGGAAGCATTTGCTCCTCCCAGCCCTTCACTATCCCTTCTCTTG